GACCCAGATTGCACGTAGAAGTAATCTCACTATTTAGGTGAGCGCTCGCTGTATAAGCTACTTGAAATTGATATTACACACCACAAGGAACATTCCAACGTCTCTTACCGTTTTAATTATTAACTACAGGTCATAAAAATAAAGAATTCAGTAATCTTTATTTTAATTTTCTTAACATCTCCCGTATAAAGTTTTATAACATACTCGTATATAGGATAAACAGGACGTTGATTTTACTATTATTATAAATGCGAAAGTTTAGATGGATGATTGTTTGTAGGTATCTCCGGAATGGCTCATCGGATCTCGATAAAATTTGGCATGGTATATAAAATAGTCTGGAACAACGCATAGGCTATTTATTATGTTTTTTAATTACGGGCGGATGAAGTCGCGTTCGGCAGCTACTCCACAATAAAGAAGTCGGACAAACGTGATCACAACCATTAGAAACCATGATTGTGGCGGGAAGAATAATTTAAACCATTTAATATAACTAAGTAGGTGTGTAGAGTAATTGTAAATAAAACATCTCGTATAATAAACGACAGTAATTAATTTAAAACTGGAAAAATATTTTCGTCCCACAAAGATCAAAGTATCTATAGAAGCGTTATAATTGTGCGTTGTTGGATGGTTGATATCAAATTAATGTAAATATCAAATTTAATTAGTAAGATAATATATGTATATAAATTAATTATGTGTCAGTTTCTATTTCCGGAAATAACTAAATTAACCGCGATACAAGCACCATTTTTACCGGGCCAGTTAATTTTATGAGACTGTATGTTAAAACAACCAAAGTATACAAAATTTTAAACGTAATTAAAAAGTGTATAAATGTTAATCAAAGACTAATAAAAAACTTCTCGTTAATAATGTCTAACTAGTTTACAGCTGCAAATCTTTTTAAAAAGAAGATTATGTAGTTAAAATAGTCTATGTCAGTGAATTTAAAACAATCTGCGTATAGAAGTAAACGAGTCACGTTCTTGTGTCTCGAGTCGGCAGCTTAATTAAAATGCTCTGGGAGCTTGAAGCTCACACTACTTTATATTTGTTTGCTACAAGGCAATGTTTGTGTCAATGTTTGAAGCAGCCTATGAATACAGGACTTTCATCAAATACACCGACACAATATTTATACTTCTATCTTACTAATATTATAAATGCGAATGTTTGGATGGATGGATAGATATGGATGGATGTTTGTTTGAAGATATCTCGAGAACGGCTGTATGGATCTCGCTGATATTTGGCATCGACGTAGAACATAGTCTGGAAGAACACATAGCCTGCTAATAAAGTTTTTTTTTAATACGGCGCCGACGTTAAAAATGATTGCATCATGTTTTCAAATATTTCATTATGGGCATATTGAGGAATCAAAATGATTAAGAGCAGTGATTATAACATATTAACAATAGAAACTGCTTGCTTAAATACTTTCATAAGCACTGTAAACAGATAAAATAGACTTTAAAATGTTGTTAAGATAGTCGAAATATCGATACAACGCCATCTGTTGTGCAGAAAGTTTAATTAACCAACATTAAAGTTGTTCCCTTTTCAAATGAACGTTAATAATAATAAATCTTATAACGTACGCCTAATGTATTCCTAAAGTCTTCATAAAATTTAACACGTACCCATTTCAAATTTGCATAACACATGTACAGATTACAGATAAGTTTAATTTGTTCACACCCGAGTTAACAGTAAATTAGAATACACGTATTTCCGAATGAACTCGTTAATATTATATAATGTTATATGTTACATAACTACATATTATATATTATTTAGGATTTCGGAACGTTGCTGATATTACCTTCTTGTCACATTGTATGTATCTCTTCAATATACATACTTGTAACCCTTTTTTTTCAGAGAGGAATGCTTTATGCATACTCCACGGCCCGGGGGGGACGCGGTAGTTATGTGGGATTCTCCTCCATATCAGAGGCATACCCACTAAACCTCTCTGTTCCTCCAATGCATCGGGACAGGGCCACGGGCACGCTTTCGCTCTCGTCCGCGGCCCAACATAATTGTAACCCTGATTTTCCATTGAACAGAACCAAATTATTGTCCTTCACATTCAGTGGTACTAGAAAGTCACGGTAAGTGAATCATCAGAGACTCTTCCCCTTAAGCAAATGCTTTTTCAGGGTCCATTAACTTGTAAAGTATAAACTTGCTAAGAAAAGACTTTTTAAATCATATTTGCAAGCAATATTTCGATTCAAGTGGTATACGTGGCGTTTTATTTAAATTCATTTAATATCTTACTATTATTATAAATGCTCATATTTCAATGGATGGATGTTTGTTTGGTATAGATGTTAAACATGATCTGGAAGAACACATAGGCTTCTATTTAACGTTTATTTTATCTCGCCTGGATGGGGTCGCAGGCAACAACTAGTTTATGGGTAATTAAAAAAGTGATGTAAAAAATTTTCAACTTTTAGCTAAATTGAAGTATACTGTTAATTCAATAAAAAAAGTTATCAAGGGACGACGCGATGGAGTGAAAAATACATTTTACCTTAAACTTATTACAGATAAGTAATGTAAAATCCCTTAAGCTACGTCGAAAAAATTGTAATATATTCGAACAGCTTAGTAATCTTGGATTTAGATATGAGATAGGTGTCCCTTTAGGTAAGAAAATATTACGATCGAAAATAACAAGGTATCTGTAAAATATTTTTGTTTAGAAAAAATATGTTAGGATTTTCTACAATCAATTCTTTCTGTGGATTACAGTCATGAATATTCATAAATTATTAATTACTAGCTATCGCCCGCGACTACGTCCGCGCGGAATTGAAATAAAACATAATTAGTAGCCTATGTGTTCTTCCAGACATTCAGCCGTTCTGGAGACACCTTCAAACTAACATCCATACATCTAAACATTCGCATTTATAAGTATTTTAAGAGTCACATTAAACTATGAAATGTACTAATTTATTTCTGTAAGACTGTAAAATGGAACATAAAACTAATACTTTGTTGCCTTAATTAGCAAGTGCAATAAATTTTCCGTATTTAAAGAGAACTTGTTATAAATTTACGTTGGCAAAAGACAAAATTTATGATAGTATATCGTTTATTCCAATAATTGCAGAGCTTAGTAAACTCAAGTGAGAATTTTATTTTAAAGGAAGAGATAAACGAACAGCATGTTGCCTCATATTAATTAATCCGGAGCCCATGGATATCCGCAATATAAGAGGCATCATAGATTCGAAGCCGGCTCTATAAGGGAGGCGAATGTGATTTTTGTAAAGAAACCATAATCATAACTGTTTTTGGATACCGCTGAGGACATAGTATTCCACAACGAGAAGCGAGGTAAAAAGTTATGTGGAAACATCGAAAAAATTTCAACTAATTCAGAATAGTTGTTCATCATGATTTTAACAGTGGTAGAGCCCGCTTTAACATCTTCGCACGAATCGGCCCGGCTCGCCCGGTGAAATACAACGACCACATTGAAGACAGGCGTGAAGTGGAACCAATTCCGCGTTTCGTCTGATGAGTGTGCGTCCCGGAGGCCTAATTTAGTCCTTTTTCCCTTCCCACTCTTTTTCTTATAAGGAAAGGATGGGAAGTGGAAGTGGACTTTCCGGATGAGAGGACGCATGGGAAGGGAAAATATTTTCTTTCTGTGCATCCTCTTCTTCGTCGATTAAAGGTAGGCAACGCATATGCAATTGCTTATGTCTATGGGTAACGATAGCTTCGCTATTTGAGCGATTTCAGGTTGCCGCTCGCTCGTTTGCCACCTTATGATATAAAAAAAGATAGACAAGTCACTTTTTACAATCTGGGTGTCAACAAGAATTGTATTGAAACGAACTTTTTTTTTGAAAAATAAAGTTTATTCTACATACAAACATACATGAACATAATTATTACATATATCAGAGTTTTACATTGAGCTAATTATTAACTATTCACATTTAAAGAATTTTTAAAATACAATTTTCAAGTCATGCGACTTATTTTGGAAAGTAGAAAACTATATGTATTGTGACAGATATCTTAATTAATTTGACATTTTGTATCTTAAACTCTTCTATATTAACCTTATTTACACGACCGAGCGTCGGTGGCTCAGGGGTCAAGCACTTGACTAGCAATCTGCAGGTCCTGGGTTCGTATCCCGCCATGTACCAATGTGTTTTTTCGATATTGTATTTACATATGTACATTTATCCGACGGTCTTACGGTGAAGGAAAACATCGTGATGCAACCCGCACATATCTGAGAAAAAATTCAAAGAAATGTGTGAAGTCAACCAACCAGCACATGGCCAGCGTGGTTGAGTATGGCCTAATCACCCTTAACTTAGGGAAGGCTCCAAGCCCCTCGGTGGGGACGTATAGTGAGATGATGACAACGACACAAAAAACAAGAATTAATTCCAACATATAGACAACACTCAAAGAATTTTAAATTTAATTTATGAAACATTTTTTTTGTTTGCAAATTTATTAGTGATATTTGGAAAATAAATACTGCCCTTTTCAATACCAGATGATAAAAAAGAAAACATTTTATGACTCAATTATATCACCACAAAAAATAGGTTATTACTAAATTTCTAATTGCAAATTCCAATTTTAATATGAGTATTATAAATACTTGGGTTCTTATCGAACATACGAATTCGGATTAAAAATACGTTTTAGGAATTTATCAATTGAGCAAGATAGTTATAACATAACAAATATTAATATAGAATGTCTAGTTTTTGGCACATTAGGTTTGTCTACAATAAATTTTACAGAACTTCATTTTTACTAATGAAAAATAAAAAAAACGTTTGATTTTTAGATCTCTAAAGGATCAAATAATAACATTTAGACTAGATTTTATAGAAATGTACTAAAATAGAAATTACTACATCTACTAATACCTCACTTCTATTTATACATTGATATATTTTCAAGATAAAATTTTACTTTGACATTGGTTTTATTTCGATAATACTAGAAATTTCATATCTTTGGTTATGTTAAAAATAAATAAAGTCAAATTTAATATCTCATATTAAATCCTGGTAGTGGAGCCTCTATGAGAACCGACTCTGTTGTCTCCTGCCCTCCTGATGAAGTGGTCGGCATCACAGAAGGTCGAAGGGATATGGCCAGTGGTAAAGCGGAGCGCGCACATAACTGTGACGCACCGCGTGTTGATCCCCCTGACATGTAGCGAGTGCAATGACCTCGTCTGTAAAAGAATAACGACTTGAGAAGATGATGAAGAAGATGAAGTCCTTGATAATCTTCCTTTACATTTGATAAAGAATATGCTAGAAACCATTCCCATTATTGTCATGCAATTTTAATGAGATTTTCCTAGAATTGTCAAGAAGGCTTTCGGCCTTAAAGTGAAACTTAGCTATTTAAAAGTAAGTAAAATTCTAGAAATAATTATAGAATGACGTGCAACATCTTAATACTTAAAGTAGAATCTGAATACAAAAGGTGTACCTGCTGCAATGACATTTCAGAAGTCTTAAGAACGCTGCCCTAAAGGTTCTATTGAATACTGTATAGATAATCGGATTAATTGTCGAAGATACATAACCCAGCCATAAACAAACATTGACTATGTGATCTGTAACCAATATTACAATATTTACAGCACGAAAAACTATATCACTTAACATTTTAATTGTGAATAAACATACCTGGAACAATACAAGCTGGGCATGATGCAAATAATATATTGAGCAAGAAAAATGGTGCCCAGCACAGGACAAACGTGAAAAAGACTAGACCAAGTACTTTGGTAGCTTTCTGTTCATTGGCAACTGCATTCGCTGATAATGATCTTCCTTTCTTTCGATTAGTAAGAAACCTGTTGTCAGATACGTCATGTTATTGTTCATATTATTTTAATTTCTTTTAACACAAAGCTATAAGCAGTTGGTTCTAAAAGAACTTCATCTAGATCTAGATCTAGAACATTCATAATTTATAAAATTATAATAGTTGGTAACACAATAACAGCTTTTCGTTATGAAGTACCTTAAATTGAGAGCATTAGGTGGTGCGATGTTTAATTTCAGCGGTCTCAAGCGTGCCCGCCTTGTCTCAGCAGCAATACTCGCTGGCGTCTGCGTAGCAACGTCACGTCCTCTCCGGGCCGAGCCTGCGCCGTTCCCGCAACCGTTCATATAACTCAGTTGAGGATTGGACACGCTCATACCAATCTTGTTTCTTTGACCTCTATAAATGAAACAATTTTAAAACACGATAACAGACCAAATTGATCTAACCATTACACCCATAGACAGTTTAATGGCACATTAACAGCTACATTTGTCTTTTACCTATTAGTTGAAGTTATCCTCCATGTCATATGCCTCGAAGAATTCCCACTTGGCGATAAATCTGGAGAGCTCTTGGCACCAATTCGTCTAGGACCTTGAGAAGGGCCATTGTCAAAACCTCCACATTGCCTGAAAATAACCTTAATCCATTTAATATTTTCATAAGGATAAAACCAAATGAATTGAAAAAAGACAGTAGTCTATTTGACTAACAAACTTATTTATTAACAAACCTTCTTTGAGTTCCTCCTGGTACAGGTGTAGCAGCTAATAGAGCTTGTCGTTTTAACAACTGTACAGTGAGCGCAAAGGATACCACCATCATTAACATTGGAATGTAAAACGCCACCAGTGAACCGAACACCCAGAACAAGCGGTTATTAATCACACATAGCTCCGGCGTCGGCATTATATTAGTTTGGTTTATAATACCTGGAACAGTAATAATTTACTTCACAGCTGTTTGAAATTCATCATCATCAGCTCACTATACGTCCCCAGCGCGGGGCTCGCAGCCTACCCTAAGTTAGGGGTGATTACGCCATAGTCAACCACGCTAGCCAAGTGCGGGTTGGTTGACTTAACACATATCTTTGAATATCTTCTCAGATATGTGCAGGTTGCATTACGTGTTTTCATTCACCGTAAGAACGCCGGATGCATGCCGGTACATATGCAAATCAGAAATCGAAAAACACATTAGTACATGGCGGGATTCGTTACAAGTTAATGATTATAATTTTAATGAATAGCATCAAAACTTACCTAAAACTGTAATTGAGCTAGATACGAACATACTCAGAAGCCAAACGAGAGCAATTTTAATTACAACTACCCTCTTAGTGGAATGGTGACGGCTTTTGAGCGGGTTACGTATACCAAGGTACCTGCAATTTCAAATCTTTAAATACAATAGTTTTAGCATTTTATCTAAGAACTAACATTAAAGAGAAAGTACGATAAGGGAAAGAAGACAAAAACAAAAAAAAAACAAAAATAGAAAAATCATTACTGAAAAGAAGAAATTGACAACTTGCGTATTTGCTTTAACCTTGGATTAATGTTACTACTAGAAAAAGAATTAGTAATAGGAGCTAATTCATGCAGTATTAATGTGACGTTCAAAAATTTAAAGATGCATCGATAAGAAGATTTTTATTATACTTTTTTTCTTTTTTTTATATCATAAAGTGGCTAACGAGCGAGCTAACTGAAATCGCTGAAATAGCGAAGTAACCGTTGCCCATAGACATACGCAATTGCATATGCGTTGCCTACTTTTAACAGACGGAGGTGAGGATGCACAGAAAGAAAATATTTTCCCTTCCCATGCATCCTCTTATCCGGAAAGTCTACTCCCACTTCCCATCCTTTCCTTATAAGAAAAAGGGTGGGAAGGGAAAGAGGACTAAATTAGGCCTCCGGAACGCACACTCATTAGACAAAACGCGGAATTGCTTCCACTTCACGCCTGTCTTCTGCGTGGTCGTGGTATTTCACCGGGCGAGCCGGGCCAATTCGTGTGAAGATGTTAAAGCGGGCTCTACCACTTTACTAATACGTACCTGCCGATGCTAATAAAACACATGTGCATAATACTTGCTGAACACGCCAGCACGTCGCATGTAACGTACACATTGCACCACACAACACCCAATGGCCAGTAACCTATGCAAACATACATCAATAATATTATTTTAAGAGCCTTTTAAATATGTTTTTCATAAAGATATAAAATAGGTAATTAACCTTTATGGGGAGGCGAAGGAGAACAAACAAACGCAAAGGTATTTAAAACACATGGAACAAAATAAATAGCTAAACCTTGTCAAAATCTATTTTCCATTATATGGAAGGTTTCACTTTATGTTATTGTATCCATATATCTCTTTATATCTATATATAAAGACGAACATGAAAAACTATTTCCTGTTTGAAATGTTTACGACGCCATATAATTTGCATCCCGAAGGTTAGATATAAAAGAATCTTCAAGGCCAATATTAAGTTGACTATCGAGTTTTTTCTTCTAGAAAAGTACACAGTATTATCTCGAATATTCGATTTCAAAGAAATGAAAGCATGTATGATCCACAATAACCTTTTTATAAGCAAAAATAACGGTCCAAGTTCGGGCAAACGGCATCAATATCGGAACGATAACATTTTTGAATATATCGTTGTTTGCCAAGTTTTTTTTCCTGTTCTTTCATTAAATTTCCTGGTCCTTTCACAATCCAACGTTTTATAGTATCGGACAGTAAATCAAATTTTACTATGTTAAACATTCATTTTGAGTGAACACAAATGTCACAAAGATAATATATATGTATTTTTATCTAACAATTTAATAATAGTGCACAATATCAAGAGACATGTGAATCATACCATCGGCTTTGAATCGAGTTAATTAAATTTCTATTTTACACTGACAAAAGTATTACGCTGTATTACGTTTTTAAAAATTAAAAGAACTTTAATTTGTTCATGTTAAGCCTAAAAGCATGGAATTAAGAACAAAATTAAAGTACATTAAGTTCAAAGAATACCTGAAAATTTACTTACCTAGAAATCCAGGAATTGCACCCATGGGCATTACGAACAAACTAACGAGTAAGTCCGCTATCGCCAGCGACAGCAGAAAATAGTTTGTGACATTTTGAAGTCTCTTATCTAAGCAGACCGCTAAACAAACCAGAATATTCCCAACGCCACCCGCTATTATAAACAGAATTACGAACAAAAAGCTCCATTCGTAACCGACCGATTCCAATGAATTTATCGTAAAATTCTTCACGTTCCACTTACATTGAACAGTTTGTACATCACTTATATTATACGCACTATCATTAACGTCCATGTATAACGTCCGATCGTTATTGTAACAGAATAACGTATCCCAATCACAGATATTGAATTCAGGTAATTTTAACCAAAAAGTTTTTATTGCACTTTCAAAAACAAAAGAGAGCATATTACTTTTTAATTTTCCGTCGCACACTGTATAGTTGAGATCCATATTGTTATTAGAACATTTGAAGCAACTATAGGATGTTTCATTTTGCGTATTAAAGTTGAATTCGCAGAAGTAATCAAGTGATTTTTCGGTACGCGTGCACTCGAGTCCTGAGTGCGCATTGCCGCATCCATTGACTGTTTTCAGATGACATTGTAGATCATCAGTGATAAGATCTAAGTAGGTGATATTCATGATAGACGCGACATCCATGCGGATGCTAAGTCACCTTTTCTGGATACATATTATGAATGGTGAGTCAGCTTATATCTTCAAATTAAAGTACCTGCAACAAAATATAATGTTACTTTTATATTTTGATAGCTTATTGAGAATCTAATAAATATTGTGAAAACTCAATCATAAAAGGACTGACCTCAGGGGATCTCATTCCTTTTATAAAAACTGTTATACATTTTTTTTTACCAATTTAATAGTTTGTGTTTTATCCGGAACTTTTGATCATCAAAATAATTGCCCTTTATAATAATGACATTATAAATATGTCTGTAATGAAGTTAATACTAAAGCACACGGAAGTTAAATACTAGGAACACAAAGAGCCTCGTTCTACGCATTTTTTCCATTTGATATTATTTTACTATTATCCCACTTTGCCTCAACATTACATAATAAAATAATGTTTTATTTAAACTACCAGTGAAATACTATTCATTACTTTTTTTTATAAAATATTAGGAGATTTTTTTGTAAATTTACTAATATTCCTTGTACCATTCCAACTAAGTTCTAAGCTTGTGCTAGGATATGGTTAACGACAGTAGTCGAATTGCGGGATTTGAACCTCCGACCTCGTGATCGGAAATCCGTACCCTTAACCATTAGGCTATTGGCGCTTTTAACTAACATATATTCAAAGATAGAATTAAATTCAATTTATAGGATAAATCTAGACTAAACTTGAACAATGAGAACAAGGTCTTAGCTTATTATATTAATGCCTAAGATGAGTGAAGACAGGGTCTTGTAAAGATGACGTCATCCCTGTCATTACTCTAGCTTACTCAACTTTTATGGAATGCGGGATATTTTTTTCCTACACTAGTACTGACCTCTTTATTAAACGACGCTTCCACTTATCTACTTAAGATATAGATCAGAGACATGATAAAGACTTTATTAAGATCTAAAAAACAAATGAAAGTTTAACTAAATAGCAGCTCAAAATTTTCATTTAAAAAGTCTATTAAGCGTTACAAAGCAAGATTTGCAAATCACTAAAATCCCCTTGTTGCAACCTTACCAAAATGTGGCCATAGAAGGAGGCTTAAAAGGGCCACCTTAATATGATAAATAACCCATTGACCTAAAAGAAGAAATTTTCTTGATGGAGAAAATATTCTAAAAAAATTACTCTTTCTTCACATCTGCTTAAAGTACTAAATACTGATCGCAGATAAAGCCTAAAAAAAAATAAAAAAAAAATGTCTATAGTTCCACAGCTACATAGACATGTGTTAATTGTTCAAGTTAAAATATGTAGACACCATACAATAGTGCAAGAAAAGGACATATTCAAATCAAATACTGCTATCTAGAGGCTCATCTGCACAGATACGCAGAGCGGATGTCAGCGGAACGACGTGGAAATAATTCTGAGTCTCAAGACTCGGAAATGATTGACGTGATGACACATCTCTTTCTACAGCAACATAAATTTACCTATAATATAATAGAGTAAATGTTATATTTTTCAATTCAAAATTCTCTTAAATTTAGTATGAATAAAATAAAGTGTTAGTTAGACTTGAAGAGCTGCTTTTATTTAACTTACTAATATTATAAATGCGAATGTTTAGATGGATTTGATGTGGGTTGATGGATGGGTGGCCTACACTAATTGAGTTTTTTTTTATATATCCACGTAGGCGGAGTCGCGGGCGACAGCTAGTTTAGTATGAATTTTCTTGAAAATGTAATACTACGAATAAAGTGACTGAAAAACAATATTAAGTTTTTTATGAATAAAAAACACGAGAATCCACTGCGAAAACTTCTATAAAAACATATTGTTACCTCAATTTTATGGAGAAAGGTGTAATTTATTATTGGACAGATATTGCAAAGGGAATTGGCAATATTTTAATAAGAATATGATGTAAACATCGCAATGAATAACGCAAAGGCCGCAAACCTGATCTCCATTCCACGCTTCGACGCGCTGCGGCCGTGTGGAGGTCACACAGAACGCATCGTACAACCACTGTAGTTCACGGTCTATCGCTTACATACAATCGTAGCGGAAACAGAGGGGACAATTGAACACAAATATAAATAAATATCAATAGTCTGACTGTTTGTCACATTTTAATTTGCTCGTTACTGCATTATCTAGATTTGCAATGTACCTAACATGCATGATTATTCTAGTACACTATTTTTTGTCGGTGTTTTTTATTTTATTTATCATATAACAAATACATCCTGACATACTGACAGATTAGATTAAATTCGTGTACATAAAATATAACAAAGATGTATGCATGTATGGATGGATGGATATGTTTAGGACGAAATAAAGTAAAGAAATGGTTTTGAAATGTGGGTCATTCTCCACAGCGAAACAAATCTATTGACATCGCACTCATCAAAATCGGTCGAGCCGTTTAAGCTAAAGGTCAAACGGAAAAAATATACTTACAAATATTACGATCTTTCGGGGTCAATGAGTTCAAAACATTTTGCGTATAAAGAGGCCAACTTTGTACTGTGACGCAAAAAGTCGCTAACAAAAAAGTAACTCATTAAAAGCTTTTTACAAAAGTAGTACTTGAGGCAGATTAGAGTAAAAGAAAGAATGTTTGTTATGCAATTAGCTTACTCCTAGCAAAGCAATCCAGAACACTGGGATACTTCACAAGGCAATTGTTCAAATAAAAAAAAAACTACAGATTGCTACACTTGCTTGCATATCTTATTCATTTGTATTAGAGTAGAGTTAAGGATATTTACATTGGATTAAGTTATCAATTTATTATTTTGTTTACCGATGAACTTTGCCTGTCAGTAGTCAACAAATAATGAATGGTCATATAACTAATTTAAAAAAAACTTGAATGCGCTATGATACTCCGTTCGAAACAAAAGACGCCTTACTTTTTAATCGTCAAGCTTAAAATGGAATAGTCACAAATAAACATACAATAGGTAAGTGGCACGAATATTTGTGCCATCGTATCGTCATGACCAAATTTGTATTTAAAGTATACTAAGAATCTCATACTAATTAACAGTGGTAGAGCCCGCTTTAACATCTTCGCACCAATCGGCCCGGCTCGCCCGGTGAAATACCACGACCACACAGAAGACAGGCGTGAAGTGGAAGCAATTCCGCGTTTCGTCTGATGAGTGTGTGTCCTGGAGGCCTAATTTAGTCCTCTTTCCCTTACCACCCCTTTTCTTATGGGGAAGTGGAAGTGGACTTTCCGGATGAGAGGATGCATGGAAAGGGAAAATATTTTCTTCCTGAGCATCCTCTTCTCCGTCGATTAAAGGTAGGCAACGCATATCCAATTGCGTATGTCTATGGGCAGCGATCACTTCGCTATTTCAGCGATTTCCGCTCGCTCGTTTGCCACCTAGTAGTAAAAAAATATATATATAAAAAAATGATATAACTGACGATGACGAACGAAAGAAATTGTCAAAAATATACTCAGCCCAAAGAAATTATATTCAAGTCGTTAGAAACACACTTTAAATATTAACCAATGAAACCATCATCCATAAATGTGTGTAAATAAATAAAATTACTTTTTATTCCTTTGAAACAAATATTTTTTATAAAAACAGTAATGAAGGCTTACATAAAAAGTTTCATTGCTCTCACTAGTTATATGTTGTTGTTACTTTGTTACAGAAAAGCTACTCTATACAACAATAAATTTTATAAAGTACTTCTGATGGAATAAACTAAAAGAGAAACTTTACTACAATTTCTATTGAATGGTCACTTAATACCCTACTATATATAGCCGTCTACATTTTAAAACAACATCTCACGCCCTTTACCCAGAGGGGTAGGCAGAGATCTCCATTTGGCGCGTTCATGACACACCTCTCGCTTTTTCTACATTCATCTACGTTTACCTACACCTATATCTACTGTGAGTTACTTTTTGCTACTCAATAAGATATATTAATACTATAAACAAACATAGAAAATATCCTACAGACAGTTCACCTGACCTAAATTCAGTACGATGGTCGTTTTTTCTAAAAAAAAAGTCTTAACAGACAGGCGGACGGACAAAAAAGTGATCCTACAAGGGTTCCGTTTTTTTCCTTTCGAGGTACGGAACCCTAAAAATATTTCAATGACTTGAAATTTTTAAACAAATCCTATAATATTAAAACTTTATTTTAAAAAGCTAATGTTAACTTAAAATTTATTTCTACCTAAAATGAATCTGTATTTGCAGTTGATATCTTTTGAATTTAACCCCTTAGAGAAAAATCTCGAAATAACCGCGACTTATCCATACACTTCTCATTTTGTAAAACAAACAGCCAACAGATTTCACTCAGCTTTGCCCAGAGCAATATATTTTGAATGTAAGATTTAAATTAGACTGAAATAAATTTTAAAGCAGCGTTGATAGTTTTTTGCACTAAAAAGTTAAGTTTAATTTATTTTTCGTGCATTTTACATCAGTGGGTAAATCAAACAAGAGTAAAATAACGTATCGTACTTAGAAAATTACTATCAAAACCGATTACAATGACTTCAACTGGACTTCAGTAATAATAAAAGATAGTCTTCGAAACAGATATTGTATTACGTAATACATTTGTCTTACTCTTACTAATATTATAAATGTGAATGTTTAGTTGGATGGATGTTTGTTTGAAGATATCTCCGTAACGGCTGAAAAGATCACGCTGAAATTTGGCATAGATATAGAACATAGTCTGGAAGAATACATCGGCTACTTATTAAGTTTTTTTTTTAATCCGTGCGGACAGAGTCACGAGTGACTAGCTGGTGTGTATATTTGGATATACGAACATACGAAGAAGACTTTATCTATTCAAAAGTTATATTGAATCATATGAAATTCTTCTGGTAGACTGTTGAATAAATTTCTAGCGCATAGTCTAGAATACGGTAAACAAATTCAATAGCATTAAGGACTATAAATCATGAACGTCAGCTCGAGTGGTGTTTGTGCAGCGAAGGAGGCAAATATCAACAG